GCGGGCCAATGGCGGGCAGGGCCAAAACGGGCCGGGCTGTCCCGTTTTGCCATCCCTAATAATGATGTCAGTTTCCAATATTTTAAGCAATTTATTAGAGCAACTCCAATTGGAGTTACTTGTCCCATGAAGTAACTCAAGTCTCAATTTCTTGTCATTAAAGGACTCTAACGTGACAACATGAGTTACTTAAAGAAGAGAGAGAGTTGCTTCCTCAAGCAAGAGTTCCTTACCAGATTTCAAGCAGATCTTATTGAACATATTTGGGAACGTTTTAGAAATAATAATGATGAAAATTAATTTCATATAATATTTATGTATTTACTATTGCTTTATTTTATTTTTAATATCTACTTATTGTATATCTTTTCTCGTAATTTATTTTCTTTCATTGTAGTGCAATTATTCTTTTTAATAAAAATTTAAATTTGGTTCATAAATGATTAGAAAAAAAATTCTAAAAGTTAAATTTCTTAAAGTTTCTTACCATCAGAGTAAATTTGTGTTTGAGTTGCTTAATGCTGACATGGCATAATAGAGACCACTTATTTCATTTTTCAATGCATGAAAAAACTCAAATGAGTTACTTCCATTAGAGATGCTCTTATGCAAGTACGAAGCAACTATGAAGAATAGCTAGATATATATAGTACTACTTTATAAAACTTTTAGGTTTAATTTCATTTTTGCTGCGAGGTTCAATCATTCAAGATGTCTTTTATTTTCAAAATTAATAAATTCATTCTAACGTTAATTTTTTTTACTCAAATTTATTCCCATATTATTTTTCTATTTAATTATTAAAATACTTATAATAAAATTGTGATATGAAATTAAACCATGGTATCAATGGATTAACAAAATATTAAAAGTATCCTAAGTTCATCGTATAAATAATATGATTTTTTTAATCATATTATTGGTAGAAAATATTCATTGATTTAATTAATGATTAATTTCTATAATCTTTAATAGATTCTTTTCTTCTAATCTTTTTCAAACACGAGTAACATAATTATTAAAAAAATAATAAAAATTATCATCCCTACATAGTTTTTCCCTAGCTGTATTGTTTAAAGATCCACGATTTTTCTCTTTCATCCCACGACCCCAGAAATTATCTTTTGTCTTATCTTTTATTTGGTATAACATTTTTCCTTTGGCGTGTAAGATCGACTTCCCCTATATTCTCATCTTTAATTAAGCCAATGAAAAAAAGAAGACACATATGTGCTTAAAATGAACTGTACCCACTTCATACACACACACATCCCATACATACAAATCTGGAATCATAACATGCGCACTACATGAAGAAGCGGAAAAGGAAAGGCGACAACTTCTATTAATTGAAATTTATAGTTTGTTGAGATATAACTTCTTTAAAAGATATTTGAAGATATAAGAAAAAAAAATAAACATATATATATATATATAAGGAAAGATCCACATATTCAAAAAAAAAATATGTTTTATAAATTTAATATACTTAATAACTCATATTCTACATCAAATTTTAACAATCTAATAATTAAATTAAAAATTCTTAAAATATAAATCAAGTATACAATTTTAAAAAAATCATTTGATACATCCTAATATAAATTTTAATTAACGTATAAAATATTTTTATAATTATTTATCAACTTGAATTAATAAAACAAAATATCAAATAGTTTTCAAAAATTTTAAAAATTTATGACCTTAATTTATGCATTAAGAATTTTAATTTAATGGTTGAATTGTTAAAATTTAATATAAATCATAAATTATTAAATAAAGTAAGTATATCATACCAAGACTTACTCTTGAAATAAGTGACTCATTCCTCTGTGTGTGTGTATGTAAATGCCTATATATATAGATGGATAAATAGATTATTTAAATCTATAAGTACTTCATATAATTATGAATGCCTAATGTGATGATTGTTAGGCTAAAAGTTCATTGGAGACAATAATTTAAAATGACTTTTTAGATTGTATTAAAGTTATTAGAGGGTTATTTCTATTAAAATTAACTTTCTATTTTCTCACTCCTTAAAAAAATAGTTTTATTAATTAAAGGTAAAAGGTGAATTTGAAAGACAGGATGTGTGAACTTGTTTCACCTTAAAAAATTTGATATACCACTTCAAAATTTCCATGTAAATTGCTAGTAAGAAAAGCCATGAAGATAAGTGTTCAACACCATCATAAACATCATTAAAAGGGAGTGAGAGAAAAGAAAAGACTTTCAAGGTTACCTAAAGAAACTTGAAGAAACAACATTGACAAACTTATGAATCTAGGTAAGTTCTCCAAACATTCTAATAGAAAATATAAAGTATGATAAATGTGATTAACATACTATCTAAGATTCCTATAGTGTGATTTTTTTTTGTATGTTGAAGCTCACTGTCAAATATGCAATTATAAATTAAATAAAATTGAGGTTAATAAGGACAATTTTTTTTCTCTATTAGAGTCTTGTTTTTCTCCATTTTCCTCTTTAATCTATGACTATGAATTTTTGGGAAAATGGAGAAAATGACACAAAGCATGTTGAGCATTCATTATAGTAACGCAGTGAGCAAGTTCAACCAAATTCAAGCCTAAAATTTCTAATTTGAAACAAATCAAAATAATAAAAACATGGTTGAATTCTGATTGTAAACTTCTTCGAATTGAATGTTGTAGATAAGTTGAATTATGAATGAATTGGGTGAATTTACTCAAATACAAAAAAAATTCATCAACAAACACCATAAGAAACTCATGGATTAACAAAAGAAATTAGCGAAGGAATCTTTTCACAATAAATCTGTTGCAAAATTGTGATAAAAGGGTAAGATTTTGTGATGGTCATATTAGCAACGTCCATATTGCGATAGATTAATGACAATTTTACGATGGCCATATTGTGATAGATTTGTCACAAATATTGAAAGGGGGACTTATTGCTAATTGACGAAAAAATGTATGAGTTAGTAAACATTTAGCAAGAAAAAAATTGCAAGGGACAACGACACATTTGCAAGGGAACATGGAGAGAACTTTTTTGTCGCTAATTAGCTACTTGATATTAGCAAGGGAAGTTTATTTCATAATTTTGTTGCAAATTCGTAATGGTGATACTACAAGAAAATTACCATATAGTGACACACACCCTATAGTAATACTATATATGTTACTAAAAATTATTTTTACTCACACAATAACTACAATATATGTTGGTATATTATTAAAAAATTGTGAGTATAGACTATAGTGACACATAAAATATGTTGTTAAATCTCATTCAAAATCAACACTAAAATTGTATGTAAATATATGTCAAATAGACATATACCTACATATATTGTACCTATAGTGACACTTTTTGTATGTCACTATATATAACATTTCTTGTAGAATTTGTGAGGAAATTATTTCCCGTTAATCCAAAAATTTATTGTAGTGAAAAAATGACTAAGAAGAAGGAATAAATCTAATCAAGGTTATCAATGGTAGAATGTGTCCTTATTATCTCTTTCTCCTTCTTTCACAACTCACACCATAAACAAATAGGGTGGTGTAAATGTTATTAATGTTTCACAAAAATTGTTCAAGATCTATAAGAACATCCTTCATGTAACTCAAGCACATGTAGAGAATGGGAAGTAATCAAAACCAATATCAAATAATTTTTCTACAAAAAATAATATTACAATGGAAAATATTATTAAAAATAGCTAGATAAAAAAATGAACATTGTGAGGTATAATAGGGATGGTGAACATTATGGAATAAAAAAAATGTTTTTATAAGGTGTAATTTATTTTCATTAGTTGGTTCCTATAGGTATAAAGTGATATATTCAGTCATGACTCTATGCTCAATTTGAGAATCAAACCTTAATCCTTATATAAAGTAGCACAAGTTTTGAACCACATG